GAAATAAAATGTTCAAAGTAGTTCAAGAGAAAAAAGTTAAAAATATATTTTGAAACTCGCATGATGTGACACTGAATAATAAATTATACACTTGTATATAGTAAATATAAATATATTAAAAATGAAGACAGGACAACAGAATAAATGGGCAAATGGAAAATAAAAAATTTCTACAATAACTAGTACCAACATCTTTCTTCAGACATTGTTTTCCATGGGGAACCAATTCAAGATCAACACTGTGCTTTGTAATTTAATGTCAATCAAATTATTTCATAGCCTGCCCAATGTATTTGATATAGAGAGGTATTTAAATTCTTATTCCAGTAATTTAATAAGTTTTTACAATCAAGAATGTTTAATAGACAGAATATATATGAAGTAAAAATTTAGACTTCTCTATACTTTATAATTAATTATAAAATGGAACCCTGTACATGGTCTAAAGCATCAAAATTAATGTTTAAATAGCTGCATATAATTATAGTGTTGTTATCTAATATCTGTTTTCAGCTTTTAGTTTGTTGCTGGTTATTTGGTGGTTTTGAATGAATGTAATATTTAATAGCATACAAGCAGTTACATTGCGAAAAACACAAATGTTCAATATAATGAACTAAAAGGTTTCATAAACTAACAAATTTTTCAAATTAAAAATACCACAGCGTAATAATTACCATATTTATCAAAAAATGGTAATAGGTGGCTAATAAGTAATTGCCCTGTTGCTAAACATAAATAATTACCAACACTTATGAAGTGATACAATAACACCATGTTTTAAAGTATACAAAAATCATTTTAAAATTTACGAATGCAATGACATACCTCACTTGTGCAGGTGATTTCGGTCCCAATACTGGAGTCAATAAAAAAGGCTGGCAACCATAACCGCTATCACCTAAGAGGTGATAGTTTTGGTAAATAGATTTTGTCTGTAAATCAAGACAGACAGCACTATTGGTGAAAATTGTGCTGTCATGCACAGCTCCAGGCCACCTAGCCACAACATTTCTTATATACAAGTCTGCATCGCTGATTGTCTGGACGTTTAAAGAAAAAAAATCCTTCCGATACCGGAATCTTTCAGCATCTTCTCCCCAGGAGAGAGAATCTTCACATGAGAACAATCTATTGCTCCCAGCACTCCAGGAAAGCCAGCTACGTGAAAAAAATTTTGAGACACCTAATGGGGAAAATATGTCGATGAATATAATATAATTTCAGTTTAATTATTTTGGTGAAGTCTCAGTACTTTCTGTAGCTCTCAATTGTGATTGAGAACTTTTAGCACTATTATTCAGATATATGAAGTGGTTTTTTTGTTTTTAGTTGTAACGTGTTTAAATATGGATGTTAAGAATGCTCGTAACAACTTTTATGTCTAATTATAATTGGTGTGTAAAGAACAAAATGTAACAATTATAGTTTCTAATGACATAATTTTTGTGATTTTCATATGGTTAGCAATATATATATATATATATATATAGCTTGATATTTTTATATATATATATATATATATATATATGATGTTTTTAAGAACTATATGTTCATACCAGGGGTAATTGCAAATGTGCGATTGTTGAAAAATAGAGAAATTAGTTTTTGCCTTTTGAGTACAAATAATTTATTGTAATTTTTAAGTTTTATTAATCTCTTTTAATCTTCTACACTGGCTTGACAGCCCTGATTGTTCCCTCATCTACACTAGGACTTTCTCCCCTTCCCTCACCTCAGTTGCATATCAATGTTCTACGAAATTTTTCCCTTCCTCAATATTTTTCGTATTGGTCGAAAATATATTTTAAAATTTTTATAACATGGTTTGTTTTAGATCTATGTTTAATGTAGTTTTCAGTCCCAAATAGTTTTCTATTTTAATCTATTTAAAAATCAAGGAAGAAACTAATGTACTCCCTTCTCCTGTTACTCTCCACATGCTAATGGTGAAAGCATACGAATTGCTCCCATAGGTGGACAGTTCTGTTCTATGCCACCTGTAGCACATTTCAATTGCCAATAAACAAAAGTTAACCAAACGCATTAAATAATATCATTCACAGAGGCACAAACTATATTATCAGAGAGATTTCTGTATCGTGATCTGTGGCACAATAATGGCGAAGTATTGGCAATCTCCGGGGAGTGGCCCTTGAAAAAGATTACAGAGAGGGACCAGCTCGAAAGGTATAGATCCTAGCCACCACGGGCAAATATGAACATGTTTTTATAAAAAAAAAATTTGTAAGTTTAAAACCTAATTAGCACCTTAGCAATTGTAGTTGGCGCAAAAGATCATGATAAGGAAATGTCCCTATATTATCCATATATTGATGATGTTACAATATATTAGAATATAGTTGTTTTGTTTTTCAATTAAATAATGACCTCTTACTTCAACGAAGAGAAATTACAATAAATTGGAAAATTTTACATATCTGAATATCTTACATATTTACAGTAATATCATGAATGTAAAAAAAAAATTTATAAAATGCATTTCTAAACAGGTGCTTAATTTCATTGATATTAATTGCTTTGTAGGTGTAAGCAAGTTGAATAAAATACATTTGACTTACCTCTTCACATTCTTCTTTTGTTTTTGGCAAGGAAATAAATTCCTTGCACAATGATGCAATGACTTTGCTGACTCTATGTACAACTCTACAGACAGTAGACTGGCTAACCTGGAAACAATCCCCCAGGAGAAGCTGAAAGGTTCCGGTGGCGTAATAGCGAAGTGCTATTATCACTTGCTCCAAAGGTGACAGGGCATTGTTTAAAGTGGATGAATGACGTAAATCTTTGTCTACGATCAACACTAATGTTTTAACTCTTGCCTTATCCAGGCGAAATCGTTTCTTAAAATTCAACTCATCGAATAGATATCTTCTGGATTTCTCAACATTTCTTGGCTTCCTATCTTCGAGTTTTTCCAAAAACTATATTTCTTTTAGTAAATTGTAATCTTCCATTGTAATTTTCCAAAAATACCGACGAAGAAATCGAAGTAAATAAGCAAACACTCGTTTATTGCGCATGCGCGGTTTCTCTGACCGGGAATATCTTCAGGTTCAAGTTACTTAACTCTGGGTTAAAGTAACTCGCAGTTACGTATACGGTGGAATGAGATTTTTAACTCTAACCTGGAGTTGCTCTCATAAAACCTGTTTTGAACTCTGACTGAGGGTTAGGGTCAGTGGTGAATACGGGCGTCAGTGATCACTTTAATAGCACTTCCTATTCATTTGCTGATCTAAACAGGTGTTAATGGTTTAAGCATTCATCAAATGTTGTTGACAGTTGTACATTAGAGTAAACGAAGGGGGTTTTGACACTATTCATTAGCACACCCGGAAGGTATAGAGTGATTTATTTTACGGTAAAGACTTCTAGTCCCCTCATGGTGCGTTATTTGATAAGATGAAGTTTAAAAAGCCTGCTTTTACACTATACAGGGTTCCTTTCTCCAAAGTGGAATAATCATTGCTTACTTCAGTGAATGCTTACTCTTGAGTTGGTTGCACGATGAGCACGAAAAGGAATGATTTGAGTTTATCTAAAAAAATAGAAGTCTTGGAAGAAATAAATTTTAAAAAATCCCAATCTGAAATTGCGAATAAATTTGGAATTTCTCAAACTCAAGTTTCGAGGATAAAAAAAAATNTTTTCGAGCTTTTCCAAAAACTCTATTTCTTTAAGTAAATTGTAATCTTCCAAAAATACCGACGAAGAAATCGAAGTAAATAAGCAAACACTCGTTTATTGCGCATGCGCGGTTTCTCTGACCGGGAATATCTTCAGGTTCAAGTTACTTAACTCTGGGTTAAAGTAACTCGCAGTTACGTATACGGGGAATGAGATTTTTAACTCTAACCTGGAGTTGCTCTCATAAAACCTGTTTTGAACTCTGACTGAGGGTTAGGGTCAATGGTGAATACGGGCGTCAGTGATCACTTCAATAGCACTTCCTATTCATTTGCTGCTCTAAACAGGTGTTAATGGTTTAAGCATTCATCAAATGTTGTTGACAGTTGTACATTAGAGTAAACAAAGGGGGTTTTGACACTATTCATTAGCACACCGGGAAGGTATAGAGTGATTTATTTTTCGGTCAAGACTTCCAGTCCCCTCATGGTGCGTTATTTGATTTGATAAGATGAAGTTTAAGAAACCTGCTTTCACACTATACAGGGCTCCCTTCTCTAAAGTGAAATAATCATTGCTTACTTTAGTGAATGAGTTGGTTGCACGATGAGCACGAAAAGAAATGATTTGAGTTTATCTAAAAAAATAGAAGTCTTGGAAGAAATAAATTTAAAAAAATCCCAATCTGAAATGGCGAATAAATTTGGAATTTCTCAAACTCAAGTTTCGAGGATAAAAAGAAATGCTGAAAGCATTCGAAAGGAATACGCGAGTAATGGAAGCCTCAGTAGAAAAAGAAAGAGAAAATCGAATTTTGATAACGTATATCAAGCTATGTTGGACTGGTTTCAAGCAAAAAGAGCTAAAGGTGCATTGATCAACGGAGCAATGATCCAACAGAAAGCTATGGAAATCGCACAAAATTTCGAAAACTGTGAAAAGTTTCTTGCTTCAAACGGTTGGCTTTATAGATGGCAGCAGCGAAATAATTTAAGTTTCAAGATCGGACACGGAGAATCTGGCTCTACAGATGATTCTACATGTGAAATTTGGCGAGAAAAGACTTAAGTGCCTTTGCTTAAGGAATATGGTGCGGAGAATATTTTCAATTGCGATGAAACGGCCCTTTTTTACCGCGCAATGCCATCAGGAACATTGGCTAAGAGAGGAGAAAAAGTCCAAGGTTATAAGAAAAATAAAGATAGAGTGACTTTATTATTTTGTGCCAATCAAGAGGGGACAGATAAGCTTGAACCCTTAATGATTGGAAAAAAGCAACCAGCCGAAGTGCTTAAAAGGGATAAAAAAAAAAGTGCCCGATTCCGTATATGCATTCTCGAAATGCGTGGATGACGAGAAACACGTTTAGAAAATGGTTGGTCGACTTAGATTTGGATTTTAAACGGCGAAATAAGAAAGTAGTCTTATTTCATGACAATGTTTCAAGTCATAAAATTGACTCACTACGCCTGACCAATATCATTTTACAATTTCTTCCCGCGAATGCAACTTGCAAAATTCAACCTCTTGATCAGGGAATTTCCTTTAAAGCCCGCTATCGGAAGCAAGTGATTCAAGAGGTCTTGCACTTCTTGGAAGAAGCTACACCAGAAGAATCATTGCTGTCAGTTTATAAGAAAATAAGCCTCTTGACGGCAATGCACTTCGTGAAACGTGCCTGGGATAGTGTCCCAATGGAAGTGGTTAATAACTGCTTCAAAAAAGCACAATTTTTCCCACCTGAAGAAATTAGAGATGATGAAACAGTCATCTACGATTTAGAAGAATTTTTGAATTCCGAATTTGAAGGGTTGGGCATGACAGATAATGATTGGATGGAGTTTATAAATTTGGATGAAGAGGAAGACAGAAGAAGAGAATACCACGACAATCGCCGAGCAAGCAGAAGAGGACCAGGACGATCCACCCCATCCTCCAACAATTAATAAGGTTTACAATTCTTTAGCCACAATAAGACGACATTTTGAATGTAATGGAGGGGACTAAAATGTACTGTACAACTTAGAAAAAGAAGTAGAGAGATGTTCTATTAAACGTGTATCAAAACAGTCTTCTATTACAGATATATTTTATTATTACTTTAAATGAGATTCATATTTTATGATAACTAATATTGATAGTTTTAGTTATAATTGTTTATTGATCATAAAATTGAGTTTATTTAATCTAAACATTATACTATGTATTAAATACCATTTAAAAGTAAAATTTTATAAAAACATAGTATTTTAAGATCGAATAATGCACTCCCCTTTTAATCGAATAACCCGCTTAATGGAATAAAGTTGGCTGGAACCGATGGTATTCCTTTAAGCGGGGTTGACTGTATCGCATTCATTGTTTGAGAATTTATGAAGTTTATAAAGAAGTTAAGAAGTAAAAAAAAATTGGGAGTTATTTATCACATTTTATTGAATATAAAATAATTTAAAATGAAAAAGTGCAACAAGATAATTTGAAGGTATGTAGTAGTATTTTTGTATCAGTGTTAAAATCTTTAATCAGTTTTATAAAGAAATATATTTCCATAATAATTTCTTAGCTATACTTTTTTTTTACATACAGTTAAATTTCAAGAATTCTATGTTGTTTGAATGGCTATATCTTTCTGTTACAAATAAAATGAATCATTTTAAAGAAATTTGCGTTTCTGAATTAGAAACGAGTCCAACATAAGCAACCACAAGAATAAAAAATAGTCAGCAATAAAAATAATTACATCAGGTAATGAAAGTCTAATGAATAAAGTTTGCTTTTATATTAATCAAAGAAAAATCGTTTATCATTCATAATTTCCACTAATAGGGAGATCAAGAATATACTTTGTATATAGTCAAAAGCAAAACATTTTTTATGGATGACTCAAAATATTTCACTGAAACAGTTACGCAATCAGCTTTTAAAAGACTACATATAGGCAATCTTCTTTCAAATCCATGTATTTCTTCTGAAATAAAAAAAGAATGATGAGGAACAGGGTATTGAAAGGGATCCGCCTCCTTGGCTTGAAAGGGAGCAGTAGAAATTTTTGTATTTTTTTTCTAATGATAAAAATTTCAGTCACTTTTTCTTCCAGAAAAGCATAAAACTTTTTTAAACTTCCAAAACTTTTATTTCTTCTTTGAGAAAAGAATACCACTTCTCTTCAGGTTGTTTGTTTTTCAGGTATAGTGATTTCATTGCATTGCCAATACAATTATCTAGGGATGTAAATCATAGCATTCGAAAGACTAAGAATTTAATTAAAATTTAATTTTAATTTGCGCAGAAGTAAAAAATTTTTTAAAAGAAACTAATAAAACATAGATTTTTATGATCAAGCGCGAAAATCTAAATAAGAATGCATTCTCAGAGAGATACAGTATTGATATATTTGCTTATAGCTTGCTTTGTAGATAGCGAGCCAACCACATTCAGTCTTTAAAAGGTTATTCACACTGGAAACAATAAAAATGCAAGTATTTTACCTGAATAATAGTTTTGTGTTCCTGATTGGTGAATTTCACAGTGTTAATATGTTTAACCAATCGGGATCTTATTTGCATCTCCATATTCGCATACGCAAATATTTTGCATTCAGTGGGAACGGCCCCTAAGGAAAACTGTCCATTCGAATGCGTCAATCGCACATCTGATCAACTTTCAGAAGAAAGGGGAACCAGGGTGGTGATTTTTTTTTGCAAAAATGAAAACTTGAGTGAAAATACACATATTTCCTCGCCCTTTAACGGAGGTGCGATGACAGCATTCGGAGGAAATGCTCCTTGAAGGATTAATCTCTGCATATTCAAAATTCGTGGATTTAAGCGAAAATTCGTTTGGGAAATCATTTCATGGGTACCACGAATGTTCCAGTTGCATCTACGAATTTTCTTCCATGCAACGAATATATTTCCTTTGATTTAAGAACAAAAAAAGAATCGCAGAATCGATTCACAAATCCACTCAATATAGTGAATCGATACAAAAGAATCGATTCATTTTAATGAAACGATCGGCACATCACTAAGCAAATTATATAGTAAAATTCGTTAAAGAAATATAGTTACGCCTACTTTTTAACATAGTAACCAGTAGTTTGATGCTTTAACAAAACATTTTATATCATACTTACAATTTTTGATATTTAGTGGTGAAAAAATTACTTACAAAGAAAAATACTAAACTAAAAGAAACTTACATTTCGCTACCACTAGAAAATGCTATTTTACAAAGCGGAGCAAGGGATTGATACCGGAAAATTTTTTAGAAAAACCAATCGTCCAGTACAAAAACACATTTTCTTATACCTCAAAGCCATTGGTTTTGATACATCAATATAGATATTTAATAAAAACCAAGTTGTAGGTGCGATATAGCCACAACTGGCTCTTGCACCAATTACTAATAACTAACTAACCAATACAAAAACCAAAATGTATAATTGACTACAATCATCAAATGAAAGGAGTGGATCGAGCTGATCAATATCTCAGCTACTATCCTATATATAGAAAAACTATAAAATGGACAAAGAAAAAGTAGTATTATACCTTTTCAATTGTGCTTTATTTAATGCATTCAGAGTTTACGAAAATTTAAATGTGAATTCTATATTAATTTTTTTTTTGTTTGAACGCTTAATTTTTTTAATGCTTTTTTTAAATTATCACGATCAGCCAGGGAAAACATATTACGTCCCTATTTTTGTAAAGAATTTGTTTCTCCAATCGACAAAAGATTTTGAAAAGGCCAAAACGTATAGTGTCTTTTGGTGTCCCGTGAATGAAGAGAAAGTGGAAAAACTAAAAGAAATGATAGTTCCACATAAAGATTCATGGGACAGATTCAAAGGAACATCCTACTACAGTGCTTATGTATTTCGCCTAGGAGGTGAGTTAGTCTTTTCTTCTTATTATTAAATTGTCAATGAATTGACTCGAAATCAAATGAATGTTCGCTTACGTAAATTATCACGATCAGCCAGGGAAAACATTACGTCCCTATTTTTGTAAAGAACTTGTTTCTCCAATCGACAAAAGATTTGGAAAAGGCCAAAACGTATAGTGTCTTTTGGTGTCCCGATCTCCTCGTGAATGAAGAGAAAGTGGAAAAACTAAAAGAAATTATAGTTCCACATAAAGATTCATGGGACAGATTCAAAGGTACATCCTACTACAGTGCTTATGTATTGCGCCTAGGAGGTGAGTTAGTCTTTTCTTCTTATTATTAAATTGTTAATGAATTGACTCGAAATCAAATGATGCGAATTTGAGATATTTTTTCCTATGCAAATTTATTTTCTATGCCCAATTTTATTTTTTTATAATTAAATTAGCAATATGCCAATAGCCTTCTGAAATAATAATGATACTTAATTATTTTAATATTTATTATTGATGAATTGAAATTTATCCAACTTCTACTTTAATATAAGTTTCTATTTTCCACCTGTAATTCGATTAATGTTTTTTTTTTTTTTTTACATTTATTTTAATTGAAATCAAATCATTTCTAATTATTTATTGAAATATTTTTATATAAGTCCAACATGTGCCTAAAAATGTGTTTAGTTTCAAAATAACCAAATTTTACTTCATGCATTATTTACATTTTAATTAGATTGTCATTTTAATGAAATCCGTAAGCAATAAAAAAAATTATATTACTGTGCAGGAGCAAGAGGTGCATGAATAATTAAACTTGCTAACTTGTCATTTTAAGAAATGCTAAATGATCTATTCCTGTTTAAATTTTTTAATATTTTTTAAGCTAGTCTTGAAGACTTGATGAGTAGTGTTAGTCAGAAAAGGTCATCAATCCCTCATAGACCCTTTCAAGCAGCCAATAAAAACGGGTCTTCATTCTCAACTGATGAAAAGGAAAAAAAAGAAAAATAAAGGGAACAAAACCCATGTTAGTATTTCCTCATATTCATTTTTCTAATTAGTTTTCTATTAGTTCCACAAAGGAATGTCAACTATCAGCTGTTTTCCAAATTCTAATTTTGGCCGAACAAATATTTTTTTTAATAATGTATGTAACATATGTATGTTCTTGGCTCAAAAAAGAGAGGGATGAAGCCCAAGCAGTGGCAAGTTTATCTCAAAAAAGAATATGAAAGTCTTCGTGCAGCAACAGAGATAGTTGTAGTTTCTGATATAAACCCACCAGAGTTCGAAGAAGTAAAAGAGCTTAGAAGATTGAATCGAAGCTTACAGCTTCAAGTTCAGGATAAAATAGCTCATGGTAAATTTAATGCTTTCATAACAGACTATCTATAATTTATGTTTATTATTCTTAAAAGAATAGTGAATGTCACAATTCAAACAATGTTTGTATACCAGCAGGGTGCAATTTTAGTGAAAGTCACATATCAATCCTATTGCTAGTAAAAAAGTTAATTACAGAAAAACACAGCAGCAGAACTTGGTTGTATCTCTTCAGGTTTATCTACCTCGGAAAAATACTCTCTATCTCAGTTTTTATATATTTTGAAAAATTGGTACCTATGTTTTTGTAAACCATTTGAGTAATATGGGTCTAAAAAAGCTTTGGAAAAAAAATTGTTTCTTTATTACTTAAAAAGTTTTTCTTCTAAAAGGTATTTAATTTTTATTTTACTACTAACATACTAATTTAAACTTAAAATTAGAAAAAAACAATAACATGACAGACTTCAAACATTTTAAAAATATTTCTTCTGCTTGCAAAATTTTTATGAAAACTTTGTTGTAAATACTGGTTTGAAGCACTATGGTTTTTATGCCATTTTTTTAAGCCATTGTACAGAGAAGCCAACTTGCTCCGGACAGCAAATATATATATTTTAAAGTGGTAGTTTACCAATTGCGATTCTTGGTTTAATAAATTCAATTTAGCAGATTTTTATCCATCACTATTTCTTAACAATTCGTAGGCTTTTATATAATTCACCACTTTATAG